ACAACCACAACCCCCAACACCACCACCCCCACCGCCGCCGCGGCGAGCGTCTCACGGGCCACGCGAAGTCGAAGGGCACCACCACCAGCACCACCACGAGGGTGCTGCTGCTGCTGGTACTGCTGCTACCGCTACTGTTGGTGCTGCTGGTGCTGCTGGTGCTGCTGCTGCTGGTGCTGCTGGTGCTGCTGGTGCTGCTGCTGGTGACGAGGAGCCCGGCGGCAGCGGGGACGCCGCCGCGAGTGGTGGCCGAGCCCAAGGGGCACGGGCGGCCCGGCGCCGGCTCCCCGAGGCAGACGCGGAGCACCAAGAACGAGGAGGAGGAGGAGGCACCACGGAGAGCGCCGCCGCTGCTGCTGCTGCCGCTGCTGGTGCTGCTGCTGGGCAGGGCCTGGAGAGACGTCAACTGCAAGGAGAAGTCGCCCGAGGCGTGGCACTGATGGGGGAGAGGGGAGGGGGGAGGGAAGGGAGGGAGGGGAGGAGGGGAGGGGGGAGGGGAGGAGGGGGAGGGAAGGGAGGGGGGAGGGAGGGAAGGGAAGGAGGGAGATTAGGGTGGGGGAGGGGAGGGAGGGAGATTAGGGTGGGGGAGGGGAGGGAGGGAGGGATGCGAACAGGGAGGGGGGAACGGAGGAGGGGAGAGGGAGTAGGAGAGGAACGGGGTGAGGGGGAGGGAGGGGATGAGGGGAGAGAGAAAGGGGAGAGGGGAGGGAGGGTGACACATTGTAAGGAGAGCAAAAAATCTCTCCACCTTTCAACGCCACAGCGACTAAGAGACGTTGACTGTCTCCTGGTGTAGCAGCAGCAGGAGCAGGAGGCTGGTGCAGTACGAACCCCGCATAGCGGCAGCAGCAGCAGGAGGAGGTAGCGGACAAAGTTCCCTGCGTGAGGCCGCAGCAGATGCAGTTCGCCCATGCTGCTCCTCCTCCTCCTCTCTCCTCCTCCTTCTCCTCCTCCTTCTCCTCTTCCTCCTCCTTCTCCTCCTCCTCCTTCTCCTCCTCCTCCTCTCTCCTCCTCCTTCTCCTCCTCCTTCTCCTCCTCTTCCTCCTCCTCTTCCTCCTTCTCACCTTCCTCCTCCTCCACACTTGACCTTCCTCCTCCACACTTCACTTTCCTCCTCCTCACTTCACCTTCCTTCCTCCACACCTCCCGTCTTTCCAGGAAGCTCCTCTCTGCACCACCGCCACCCCTCGTCTGCCTCTCCACACGTGCTGATGGTGATGATGGCGGTGATTGTGGTGGTGCAGGGATATGACATCAGCATTTGAAGCAAGCTGGTATTGGGTCTTAATTGAGTTGGCCCAGCCACGTGTTGTGCAAGATGTGCCCAACCCCCATCCCATCACCTGCATTTACTGAGTGGTCAATTGCTTTAGCTCCCACTCCTGACCCTTAACCTCAATTAACTTGATTGCTTCAGCCAGGTGTGGTGCTGACCCGTGAAGCTTCAACAGCTGCGAACAAGGCGGGGGGAGGGGGAGTGGCGTTGCATGACACTCATTTCATCTGAGATGATCGATCAGGGGGTCACCAGAGGAGCTGTGACATCATCGCCTGAGATTCTGCCTCATCATCATCATCATTACGGTGACTTGCAGATTAACTATCTCGCCTCCTGGTATACGGGAGGTCGTGTGCTCATTCCAGACCCTGAGGATGCCTGCTGTACATTTGGAATCATTAATTTCTCTCTCTCATCATCATCATCACGGTGACTTGGAGATTAATTACACTGGTCAACAACAAAAAATTCTGGCCTGGACTTTTGCAGCTGTTGTAGACTAATTTCAGGGTGCTGATTCCAAATCTGATCTCAGATTTGCTCTATCACATTTTTATGTTATCGGCATACCCCATTTTCATTGATTTTACCCGAAATTAACTCTGTCACTTATGATTGCAAGTTGTTGCGAGTTAGTGACTTCTTTAGTGTTAAAATATGGTGCTGTATTTTTAGGATAGTGTGTTTATAATATCATTTTATGTAGACATCTACGTTTATTTAATATTTTTCTTCCGCAGTTTTTATTGGAAATGCAATATTTGATATCTCAAATACCTCATGTGATAGACAAAAACTGATGCCAGATTTGGAATCAGCACCCCAAAATGACCTTACAACCGTTGCAATACCTTATGCCAGACAAAGTGTGTTAACCAGTGTTATCTCGCCTGGTATACGGGAGGTCGTGGGTTCCATGCCGACCTTGACAATATCTGCTGCTGTATATTTAGAGTTTTTGTGGGAGTGTATAGTGTATTTCTATGAGTGTATAGTGTAGTGTACATATCAAGTAGTGTATAGTGTCGTGTGTAGTATACACTACACTATACACTACAGTGTAGTGTATAGTGACACTATACACTACAGTGTATACACTACAGTGTATAGTGTAGTGTATAGTATACACGACACTATACATTACACTATACACTACAGTGTATAGTGTAGTGCATACTATACACTGTATAGTGTATAGTATACACGACACTATACACTACACTATACACTAGAGTGTATAGTGTGTGTACACTAGAGTGTATAGTGTGTAGTGTACATATCAAGTAGTGTATAGTATACACGACACTATACACTACACTATACACTATAGTGTATAGTGTAGTGTACATATCAAGTAGTGTGTAGTATACACGACACTATACACTACACATATACACTACAGTGTATATGTGTAGTGTACATATCAAGTAGTGTATAGTGTACACGACACTATACACTACACTATACACTAGAGTGTATAGTGTAGTGTACATATCAAGTAGTGTATAGTATACACGACACTATACACTGCACTATACACTATAGTGTATAGTGTAGTGTACATATCAAGTAGTGTGTAGTATACACGACACTATACACTACACATATCCTTCAATTACTACTTTATTCTCAAAAAAGTTATTGACATAGGTTCACAAAAACGAAATGCCACAACATTGTAGCTAAAACACCAGAAAATTGTATAAAATCAGCAACTATAAAAACACCAGCAGCGACGAACACAACAGCACGTGCTGGTATAGCACGTGCAGACGAAACCACGTGACTCGAAGCGTCACTGTTATTGGGTAATAATGACAGCTCTGAACGGAGCGCATTAGGGTTAACAAGTATAAGCCGTAAAAACAAAGTTTTTCACTATAAATCCTTTATATGCGTGGCTGCTAGAGTCCTCTCGTCCTCTGGCTTGAGATGGCTGCCACCTATGGGTCAGATGATTGTCTGCCAGTATTAAGCAATTGGTAATTAAATATTTAATTTGTTTTCCCTAAACAGTGTAAAATTAATGTTCACGAACATTAATTGTCTCGCACAACGAGTCTGTGTGCAAAATGTCAGCTCGATTAGATCACGGGAAGTGGGTTAAAAAACGACCGAAAGATTTGCACGGTCGTAAGCAAGCAAGCAAGCACGCAAGCACGCAAGCAAGCAAGCAAACTTAATATAAAGGATTTAAAAAGTGAATTAGCATAGAGTTTTAGCCTTGTGGGTGTATTGTACATGTGCTGTGTGGTAGAAAAGGACGCTGAAGCCGGTCGTGTAGGGACTGTTTATTAAGGGCTTACGCCTAACTCGGGGGAAGGGGGTAACACAGAGTTATTAACTAATCTCCCCAGGGGAAGGGGTTAACACAGAATTATTAACTAATCTCCCCAGGGGAAGGGGTTAACACAGAGTTATTAACTAATCTCCCCAGGGGAAGGGGTTAACACAGAGTTATTAACTAATCTCCCCAGGGGAAGGGGTTAACACAGAGTTATTAACTAATCTCCCCAGGGGAAGGGGTTAACACAGAGTTATTAACTAATCTCCCCAGGGGAAGGGGTTAACACAGAGTTAGTAACTAATCTCCCCAGGGGAAGGGGTTAACACAGAGTTATTAACTAATCTCCCCAGGGGAAGGGGTTAACACAGTGTAATTAACTAATCTCCCCAGGGGAAGGGATTAACACAGAGTTAGTAACTAATCTCCTCAGGGGAAGGGGTTAACACAGTGTAATTAACTAATCTCCCCAGGGGAAGGGTACTGGGAATTCCCTACACCCTACCAGGCTATCAGGCTCTTCCCACAGCACTGGCCGAGGGTTCAGCCAACTCGGCCAGCCGGGTAAAGCAGCCCCCTTTAGCCTGACTCTCTACTCTCTATCCCGGAGCCCCCTACTCCCTTAACGCTCACTCCTCTGACCCACATCGAAGAGCCCGTCCACGTCACGGGTCTCCCCTCAAATACCCCGGGGGGCATGACGTCACTTTACCCTGACGGCATTCCCCCGAGGCGAGCGTGACCTGACGTCAGCATTCCACTCCTCAACACGTGTGTAGCGATGTCAATGGGCTGCGTATACTTAACTGCAGGGCAGAGGTCGCAACCGGGTACCCGATACCCGTACCCTACCCGATACCCGGCTACCCGGCCGGGTACGGGTACGGGTACCCGTTTGCGACCCTGGTGCGGCCGGGTACGGGTAGGCCGTGAGTCACTGGTGAGTCACCGTTTGTCACTCATTTCCCAACGTCTTGTCTCTTCTCACAATTCAAGTTCCTAGAATCAACCCACCCGCGCCTGTAACATGGCTTCATCCCAGAGGTTGCAATCAGGTACCCGTAGGGTACGGGTACAGCCGGGTACGGGTACAGCCGGGTACGGGTACGGGTACCCGTTTGCGACCCTGGTGCGGCCGGGTACGGGTACGGGTAGACCGTGAGTCACTGGTGAGTAACCGTTTGTCACTCATTTCCCAACGTCTTGTCTCTTCTCACAATTCAAGTTCCTAGAATCAACCCTCCCGTGCCTGCAACATGGCTTCATCCCAGAGGTCACAATCAGGTACCCGATACCCGTACCCTACCCGTACCCGGCCGGATACGGGTAGGGTACGGGTACGGCCGGGTACGGGTACGGGTACCCGTTTGCGACCCTGGTGTGGTCGGGTACGGGTAAGGAACCAAAACCTGTTTGCGACCTCTGCTGCAGGGGCAGTCAGGGTCCAACTGGGGCAGTCAGCCACATTCCCCAGCCCCAAGGCAGGAGGGGGCTGCAGGCTGTCCTGGGATCCCCCGGAGCCCCCTCTGGAACTCTCTGGAAGGTGGGCGGGGCCAGGGGCTGACGCACCGGTGCTGGGTATACAAGCCGGACCCCGGGAAGGGTCCGGGGCCAGTCCAGGAAGAAGCCAGAAGACCGGCCAGCCAGAAACCCTGGGACCCCTAGCCACGCTGCCCTTGCCAGGGCCGGGACTCTGTGGGCAAGCGGTGAGACCCTGGTATACAGGAGGTCGTGAGTTCCTTGTAAGGGCCGGGTCCGAGCGGGCCGGTGGTCGGAACCCCCAACCTTGGCTGGGTCGGGTCAGAGCAGCCTCCTCTCGGGCACCCGTAGCCGGAGGCAGCACCTCCCCAGGCGGTGGCGATAGAGAAGGGCCGTTGTGTGGCACATTAGGAATGAATTCTAGATTTGAAGCTTTCGTGACTGCAAGGATTGATACGCTTAGGCTTTATCGGTAAAGTCACGTAGGTAAAACAAAACAATTGTTGAAGTAATAATAGAAGTAAAATAATAAATCACACCTGAAGACGGAAGCTTGTGTTGCCTCCGAAACGTCGTGATTGATTTTATTTCTATTATTACTTCGATATAAATTTTTTGTTTTACCTACGTGACTTTCCCAAAAAAGCCAAAGAGTATACATTAGGAATGGACCACTCTTTTAATAAGTCCTCATGTGCTGCGCAGTACATCAATGCACGTGTGTACACCAGCATGTGATGACTGAGTTGGGCCTGTGGGGGGGGCTGGCGGGGTTAGTGATCAACCGCACGTGTACACCAGTCACGTGGCTAATGGCGACTCGGTGAAGATTGCTGTGTGTGACACACGTACTGTTGCATTCTACAGGTAAAGGACCCAAAGGTTGTTTTTGATCGTTATAGAACTGTTCTAGACTTGTTTTAGACTCCAAGCTTGACTTTGAATTGTTAGTTTGTGATATATTCAATTGGAGGAGTTTTTGCACTGTGCATTGTAAAGGATGACGTACTGTAGTTAATACTTGCAATTCTTAATTCTCTAACCCTAATACTGTTTGTTCTATAACCATGTCCATGCACCCAGAGTATGACCACTTGCAATGCTATTGAGAATAGAACACATGTAAAGTAGTAAGTTGTACAATGGTGACAAATACAGTACATATACTGTACACATACAGTACAGATAATGGGTGTAAAATACCGATATAAGTGGATGGTATAGATAGACATACAGCTCAGGATTAAAGTAATATTCGAATAGTGAAGTGCAAATGTTATCGTCAAAGACAACGCTTGTTTATGAGTAGGAGAAGTGGGTTTACGAGATGGATGGTGTACACCATCCACGTGGTTAATGGCGACTCAGAAGAATTGCTGTGTGTGACACACGTGCTGTTGCATTTTACAGATTGCTCTCGATTTGGAGCACCTGCCCAACATCCTTAATTTCGAGTGTGCAACAGTTGCCCTGTGCGAGACTCGGACTGTACTGCCGGGTGTTTATGTTGAAGCACGTTCCTTCGGAGTGGGCAGGTAGGAACTTGGTTGGACAGCGCATTCGAGCGATCCGTGTTGGATACCGTAGTCGTGTTGGCGTTTGTAGTGTGCACGACAGACAGATAATCCCTGGTGGGCAGTGTGGAACCTGTTGTTCCTACCTGTATAAAAGTGTCGCCTCCAAGATTCGTCTCCGACTTCCATACAACCCACTACACATGCAAACTGCGCTTAGTTATGACAACAACAAAGTTGTTTGTTGTTAGAACTACAGGAATATATTTTTTCTTAAAATAATAAATTTATACTGAAACACTGCACACAAATTGTACAGACGGTCATTTTGGTGTCACCTCCTCTGATGGTGTCACCCTGTGCGGTCCGCACCCCCCTAGTGACACCACTGCACTACACTACTATGCACTACCCTTTACACTAACCCATACACAACTCCTGTTGCGGGTGTGATCTTACTGATCCTAAACGGCTACGATTTGCTAATGCGTCGTAGTCATTGGGAGCGTAATGGGGCGGAAGCTTTACAAACGACAAACATTTGAGAGTGATGTCAGAGTCTTTATTAACACCGGAGGAATCAGAAGAGCTGTAAAGCTCTTGGTGTGTCACAGATGTCCAGTAGGGGGCACGGTGTCAGAACGTTAAGACAAAAACAACATAAGACACAAACACGATAGGACTTCAACAGTATAGGAAATGTTGATGGTCACTCATCCAGCTGTGGATTGACCAGTGAGGCCTAGTGGAGGCTGTTCAGTCAGGCCTAGTAAAGCCTGTCCAGTCAGGCCTAGTGAAGCCTGTTTAAGCAGGCCCAGTGAAAAAGCCTCTGCAGTCAGGCCGTGCCACGTTCACGCCGTGGGGGGCCTTGCGTGCTGCCCCCCCCCCCAGCGCCCCCACCCCCCCGGAGCCCCCACCCCTACCCACCGCGCCCACCCCGGCCTAGAGGCTTGACTCCTCGATGGGGGTGACGACGAGTGACGGGGGTGTCGCGTTGGAGAGACGGACGATGGGGTCGGAGCGGAGGGGCCTGGTAGTGGTGGTGGTGGGGGGAGAGGCGGTGATGATAGTGGTGGTGGTGGGTGGAGAGGCGGTGACCATAGCAGTGGTGGTGGTAGGTGGAGGGGTGGTGATGATAGCGGTGGTGGTGGTGGGTGGAGGGGCGGTGACGGTTGTGGTGGTGGGTGGAGGGGCGGTGATGATAGCGGTGGTGGTGGTGGTTGGAGGGGCGGTGACAATAGCGGTGGTGGTGGTGGGTGGAGGGGCGGTGATGATAGCGGTGGGTGGAGGGGCGGTGATGATGGCTGTGGTGGCGGTGGATGGAGGGGCGGTGACGTTGGCGGTGGGTGGAGGGGCGGTGACGGTGGTGGTGGTGGTGGGTGGAGGGGCGGGTGACCATAGTGGTGGTGGTGGTGGGTGGAGGGGCGGTGACGATAGCGGTGGTGGTGGGTGGAGGGGCGGTGACGGTGGTGGGTGGAGGGGCGGTGACGGTGGTGGTGGGTGGAGGGGCGGTGGTGGTGGTGGTGGGTGGAGGGGCGGTGACGGTGGCGGTGACGGTGGTGGTGGGTGGAGGGGCGGCTGTGGTGCCACCGCTGCCACCACCACCACCACCGCTGCCAGCAGGCAGCCCCGGGTCGGTCCGCAGCTGCGCCAGACGCTCCTCCACACAGTGCGCCGAGAGGCGAGCCTCCGCATCCTGGTCCCAGCACTCCTCCATGGTGACACACAGCTGGGACAGTCCCTGGGAGTCACGCACCAACATCGTCACCACCACCGCCACCACCACCAAGACACCACCACCAACACCAAGCCACCACCACCAAGCCATCACCACCGCCACCACCAAGACACCGCCACCACCACCAACACCAAGCCACCACGAGGTCAATCCGCTGCTGGATGAGTGACCATCAGCCGAGGTTAAAACGCAACTTCAAATACAGCGGCAGACATCGTCAGGGTCGGGATGGAACCCACGTCCTCCTGTAGACCAGGTGAGGTAGTCAACATCTGCGCCCTAGTAACATTGACCAGGAGGGATGACAGAGGAGGGAGGGAGGAGGGGAGGGAAAGAGTGAGTGAGCCAGTGAGTGAGTGAGCGAGTGGGTGAGAGAGTGAGTGAGTGAGTGGGTGAGAGGGTAAGTGAGTGATTGGGTGAGTGAGTGAGTTAGCCAGTGAGTGAGCGAGCGAGTGAGGGAGAGGGTGAGTTAGTGAGTGAGTGAGTGGGTGAGAGAGTGAGTGAGTAGGTGAGTGAGTGAGTGAGTGAGTGAGCCAGTGAATGAGTGAGCCAGTGAGTGAGCGAGCGAGTGAGTGAGCCAGTGAGTGAGTGAGAGAGTGAGTGAGCGAGCGAGCGAGTGAGTGAGCGAGTGAGTTAGTGGGTGAGAGAGTGAGTGATTGAGTGGGTGAGTGAGTGAGCCAGTGAGTGAATGAGCCAGTGAGTGAGTGAGCGAGTAAGTGGGTGAGAGAGTGAGTGAGTGAGTGGGTGAGTGAGTGAGCCAGTGAGTGAATGAGCCAGTGAGTGAGTGAGTGAGCCAGTGAGTGAGCGAGCGAGTGAGTGAGGGAAAGAGTGAGTTAGTGAGTCTATGAGAGTGAGTGAGCAAGTTAGTGAGTGACTGACTGACTGAGTGAGTGAGTGAGCGAGTGAGCGAGTTAGTGAGTGACTGACTGACTGAGTGAGTGAGCGAGTGAGCGAGTTCGTGAGTGAGTGAGCGAGTAAGTGACTGAGTGAGTGTGTGGATGAGTGAGGGAGTGACTGAGTGAGTAACTGACTGAGTGAGCGAGTAAGTTAGTGAGTGAGTGAGCGAGCGAGTGACTGAGTGAGAGTGCTAGGAGTGAGTGAGTGAGTGAGCGAGTGAGCGAGTTAGTGAGTGAGCGAGCGAGTGAGTGAGAAAGAGAGAGTGGGAGAGTGAGTGAGAGAGAGAGTTAGTGAGTGGGTGAGTGTGTGAGAGGGCGAGTTAGTGAGAGAGTTAGTGACTGACTGAGTGAGTGAGCGAGTGAGCGAGCGAGTTAATGAGTGGGTGAGTGAGTGAGCGAGTGAGCGAGCGAGTTAATGAGTGAGTGAGTGAGCGAGTGAGTGAGTGAGCGAGCGAGTGACTGAGTGAGAGTGCTAGTGAGTGAGTAAGTGAGTGAGTGAGCGAGCGAGTGAGAAAGAGAGACTGAGTGAGTGAGCGAGTTTGTGAGTGAGGGAGTGAGTGTGTGTGTTACTGACTGAGTGAGTGAGCGAGTGAGTGAGCGAGTGAGTGAGTGAGCGAGTGAGGTGAGCGAGCGAGTGAGAAAGAGAGAGTGAGTGAGTGAGAGAGTTTGTGAGTGAGGGAGTGAGTGTGTGTGTTACTGACTGAGTGAGTGAGCGAGTGAGCGAGAAAGTGAGTGAGTGACTGAATGAGTAAGTGGGTGAGTGGGAGAGTAAGTGAGTCAGTGGGTGAGTGAGTGAGCCAGTGAGTGAGTCAGTGAGTGAGTCAGTGAGTGAGTGAGACAGTGAGTCAGTGAGTGAGTGGGTGAGGGAGTGAGCGAGTTAATGAGTGAGTTAATGAGTGAGTTACTGAGTAAGTGACTGAGTGAGAGGGTGGGTGAATGAAGGAGTGACTGAGTGAGTAACTGACTGAGTGAGCAAGTGAGCGAGCGAGCGAGTGAGCGAGTTAGTGAGTGAGCGAGCGAGTGAGTGAGAAAGAGAGAGTGGGAGAGTGAGTGAGAGAGTTAGAGAGAGAGAGTTAGTGAGTGAGTGGGTGAGTGTGTGAGAGGGCGAGTTAGTGAGAGAGTTAGTGACTAACTGAGTGAGTGAGCGAGAGAGAGAGTGGCTGAGTGAGTGAGCGAGTTAGTGAGTGAGAGAGTTAGTGAGTGAGAGAGTTAGTGAGTGAGTGAGTCACTGAATGAGTGAGTCACTGAGTGAGTGAGCGAGCATGAGAGAGTGAGCGAGTTAGTGAGTGAGAAAGAGAGAGTGAGTGAGAGAGAGTGACTGACTGAGTGAGTGAGTGCATGAGTGACTGAGTGAGTGACTGAGTGAGTGACTGAGTGAGTCTGTGAGAGTGAGCGAGTTAGTGAGTGAGTGAGTGACTGAGTGAGTGAGTGATTGACTGAGTGACTGAGTGAGTGACTGAGTGAGTGACTGAGTGAATGACTGAGTGAGTGACTAATTGTGTGAGTGACTGAGTGAGTGAGTGAGTGACTGATTGTGTGAGTAACTGAGTGAGTGACTGAGTGAGTGACTGAGTGAATGAGTGAGTGTGTGAGTGACTGAATGAGTGACTGAGTGAGTGACTGAGTGAGTGACTGAGTGACTGAGTGAGTGACTGAGTGAGTGACTGAGTGTGTGAGTGTGTGAGTGACTGAGTGAGTGACTGAGTGAGTGACTGAGTGAGTGACTGAGTGACTGATTGACTGAGTGACTGAGTGAGTGACTGAGTGAGTGACTGAGTGAGTGACTGATTGTGTGAGTGACTGAGTGAGTGACTGAGTGAGTGAGTGTGTGACTGATTGTGTGAGTGACTGAGTGAGTGAGTGACTGAGTGAGTGAGTGACTGACTGTGTGAGTGACTGAGTGACTGAGTGAGTGACTGAATGTGTGAGTGACTGAGTGAGTGAGTGACTGAGTGAGTGAGTGACTGACTGAGTGTGTGAGTGACTGAGTGAGTGACTGAGTGAGTGACTGAGTGAGTGAGTGTGTGAGTGACTGAGTGAGTGACTGAGTGAGTGACTGAGTGACTGAGTGAGTGACTGAGTGAGTGACTGAGTGTGTGAGTGACTGAGTGAGTGACTGAGTGAGTGAGTGACTGAGTGACTGAGTGAGTGACTGAGTGACTGAGTGACTGAGTGACTGAGTGAGTGACTGAGTGAGTGACTGAGTGAGTGACTGAGTGTGTGAGTGACTGAGTGAGTGACTGAGTGAGTGACTGAGTGACTGAGTGAGTGACTGAGTGAGTGACTGAGTGAGTGAGTGTGTGAGTGAGTGAGTGAGTGACTGAGTGAGTGACTGAGTGAGTGACTGAGTGACTGAGTGAGTGACTGAGTGAGTGAGTGAGACGTCGACCGGGTGCTTGAGCCAGGCCTCCCGGATCGCTGGGCGGCCATTGCCGTCCACCACGAAGTGCCGGAGCTCATCCAGCGTGGGGCGCTCACCCACCTCGTCCACCAAGGGAGCGCGGTGCTCACCCAGCATGCCTGGCACACACACACAGACACACACACACAGACACACACACAGATACACACAGACACACAGACACACACACACACACACAGACACACAACACAGACACACACACACAGAACACACACACAGATACACACAGACACACACACACACAGACACACACACACAGACACACACACACAGACACACACACAGATACACACAGACACACACAGACACACACACAGACACACACACAGACACATACACACACACAGACACACACACACAGACACACACACACAGACACACACACAGAGATACACCACAGACACACACACACAGACACACACCACAGACACACACACACAGACACACACACACACACAGACACACACACACACAGACACACACACACAGACACACACACACAGACACACACACACAGACACACACAGACACACACACACAGACACACACAGACACACACACAGTCACACACACACACAGACACACACACACACAGACACACACACACAGACACACACACAGTCACACACACACACAGACACAGACACACACAGACACAGACAAACACACAGACACACACACAGACACAGACACACACACAGACACACACAGACACACACACACAGACACACACACACAGACACACACACACAGACACACACACAGAGACACATACACAGACACACAGAAACACACAGAGACACACACACACACACAGACCACACACAGACACACACACACACAGACACATACACACACAGACACACACAGAAACACACACACACAGAGACACACACACACACACAGAGACACACACACACAGAAACACACACACAGACAACAACAACCGCCATTCGCCACTAAGTGGCGGGTGATGTCACCACGACGCTTGTGCCAGGCCATGTGCACCTTGAGGCCACGTGAATTGTCGAACGCCCGCTGGCAGGAGGTCAAGGAGGCAGATCCAGGTGCCACGGGTCGACTGACTGAGATGATTGAGATGACTGGCTAATGCACCACCTGTGCCCCCTACTGTGCCAACTTGCTGTGCTTTAGCCACTCGGCGCTCCGCTCGTTGTTGTGAGCGTCGCTCCTCCGCCCTCCGTTGTTGTTGGAGGGCGACTGCCTCCAACTGCCCAGTAGCGTCCTTCACGAGCCTCCTCCACTGAGGCCGATCTTGACACCGCTGGTACCAGTCATCGGCAAGTCCACTCAGCTCCACGTCCTCCTGTACCACATCACTCCATCTCTTCTCTAGCCCGTGCCGCACCCGTTTAGCCCCCTCGATCCGGCCGAACAAAGGCTGTTTAGGCATATGGTGGCTGGGCATGCAGGCTACATGACCCAGCCAACGCAGCCTTGCCTGCCGGAGGAGCTCACCGATGGGACTTTGCCCAGATCTTTCAAGGATTTGTGAGCTCCTCACACAATCCAGCCTGGTTAAACCCAGGATGGATCGTAGGCAGGCCAGCCTAAATGTTTCTAACCGGTGAAGATGCTCCATTAGGGGGTCCACGTTTCGCAAGCGTAGAGAAGGGAGGGAATGACCGTGGCTGAGAAGACCTGAAGCTTTGTGCGGAGCGACAGACCAGGTAGCTTCCACACAGCGTTACGCAACCGATGAAAAGATATTGCTGCTCGACTGATTCGGAGTGAGACCTCTGCTGTTAAACCGGAACCGGTCATGAGCACACTGCCCAGGTATGGGAAACTCTCCATTCTCTCCACAACTGATTGGGAGTTATGGGGGTGGAGTGTCTGATGGTACAAAATACCCAGGCAGGTGCTTAGTTTTAGTGGCACGCTCCAGTTTCACCAGCAGCGTCTCCACCTCCTCCGAGTGAGCAGCAATTAGCAGATCATCGGCATACATAACGTGGTTGAGCAATAGGGAGCCATCCCTTGACCGCACCCGGGCATTGATCAGCCTCTCATTATATCTGTACCAAACGGAAATTCCCCCGGTACAGCTATTGAAGGCTTCACGAATGACGTGGTCAAAATAGATGTTAAATAATGTGGGAGCCAGAGGACATCCCTGTCACACCCCAAGGTGTACAGGGAATGGTTTTGACTCCCGGCCACGTAGTTTTACCCGGGCCCACTCACCATCATGAAGGTCCTTAATGAGCGTGAGCAGAGGGTCAGGGACTCCAAAAGCACGAAGAACAACCCAGAGCCCAGGCCTACTGATGGTATCATAGGCCTTGACCAGGTCAATAAAGCAGAGATGTAGGTCTTGTTGGAATTCCCTACACATCTGCTGTAGCAGACAGACTGAAAATATGGTATCTGTGCAGGACTGCCCTTTCCTGAAACCGCATTGAGGCTCCGCAAGCCTCTCCTCAGCGTGCCTAGCAAGGCGATGTTGAAAAATCCATGTCAGGACCTTTCCCGGCACACTGAGGAGTGAGATGCCCCTGTAGTTGTTACAGTCTGTGCGGTCCCCCTTCTTAAAGAGGGGGACCACCAGGGCATCCTTCCAATCCTGCGGAACCCGTCCAGTGGCCCAGACTGTTGTTATGACTTAATGTAGGACAGTCTGTGCACAAACGCCACCCCTCCCTCAGCATTTCGCTTGGGAGATCATCTCTGCCTGGTGCCTTTCCTGGTCTCAGACTCTGGATCGCATTCAGTACTTCCTCAACAGATGGCACCTCAGCCAGCCACTCACAGGGGGTGACTTCTTCTTCCAATATATGAGGCACCGCAGCCTCAGCAGGGTCATCCCCACTTTGTGCCATGATGTTTTCCATGTTGAGGGATTTCCCCTCCGCCAGGACCTCACAGAAATGCTCAGCAAATCTGCAAACCTGTTTCTGGGGGTCGGAGATTGGATCACCGTTCTTTCCCCTAGTGATGGTAATAGGTGTGGCGCTGCAGGTTACTTTTTTGATGGAGTTAAATAGTGATTTGTGATCGCGGGCCACTGAGGCAGACTCCATCTCCTCAGCAACCCGCAACCACCACCCATCCTTGCAGTGCCTCACGGCTGTCCGAACCTCCGAGCAAAGGCTGCGGTAAGCCTCCTCATTCTCTGACATGGGATGCTGTAGACGATAAGAGTGGGCCTGTCGCTTTTTCTCAACCAGCCTGAACACCTCCTCTGTCAGACAGGGTCTCTGGGGAGGTCTTGACCGTGTACCCAAAGCAGCCATTGCAGCTGCACGAGTCACAGTCCCAAACCTCGCCCATTTACCCCTCGACATCAGGAGGAGTGGGGGACGATGCCAACCCCAGCCGCAAGCGATGATGAAATTCTCGCTTGCAACTTTCATCAGCTAACTGAGACCAGGCCACCTTAGGCTGGAATGGGGTCCTGGGTGTCCACCCACCACCGGAATGGAAGAATGGCAGGCACATCTTACAGATGACTAGTCGATGGTCAGAGGGCATATCAGCTCCACGGTAGGTCCTGGTGTCAAGGACATGGGCCCGCATCCGCTGATCCATCACTATGTAGCCCAGCAGATGTTCTTGCTTGGACCCGGCATGCATCCATGATGCATTTTGAAAGTTGGACGGTCGAGAACTTTCATCAGCTAACTGAGACCACAGACACACGCACAGACCAGACACACACACAGACACACGCACAGACCAGACACACGCACAGACACACGCACAGTAACACGTACAGACACACGCACAGACACACGCACACACACACGCACAGACACACGCACAGACACACGCACAGACACACGCACACACACACGCACACACACACGCACACACACACGCACAGACACACAGACACACAGACACACACACAGACACACGCACAGACCAGACACACGCACAGACACATGCACACAGTAACACGTACAGACACACGCACAGACACACGCACACACACACGCACAGACACACGCACAGACACACAGACACACGCACAGACACACGCACAGACACACGCACAGACACACGCACAGACACAGGCACAACACACACACGCACAGACACACAGACCAGACACACGCACAGACACACGCACACAGTAACACATACAGACACACGCACAGACACACACACACACACGCACAGACACACGCACAGACACACAGACACATGCACAGACACACGCACACAGTAACACGTACAGGACACACGCATAGACACACGCACACACACACACGCACACAAACACGCGCACACACACACGCACAGACACACGCACAGACACACAGTCACACACGCACAGACACACACACAGACACACACACAGACACACACACAGACACACGCACAGAAAGACCCCCCCACCCACATCACGTGGGCGGCACCGTGTGACAAGAGGTGACCAGGGCCGGCCAGCACCACGCCCCTGGGGCCACACCACCACCGCCACCTCCGCTCACCGCCACTGGACATGCAGCGCGTGGCGATCTCCCACAGCACCAGGCCCAGCGCGTAGACGTCGATGTGAAGGAAGGCGTCGGACTGCAAGCAGATGGCGCCCTCCAGCAGCTCGGGGGCCATGTAGCGGAGAGTGCCGACCTGCGGCGGGGTGCAACGGTGGTGGCGGAGACGTCACGCTCGGCACGACGCTCTCCAGTCTGATCGTTGTTTTTTTAACCCTTCAATCTGGCAACGAAACTGACACCTTTTTTACGAGGAGTCGTGTTTGCATTGACCACAATACCTGCGGTCGGAATGCAAACAAAAAACATAACTCTGATAATGTATGCACTGTCCTTGAAGTTTATTGGTCCACACCCGAGACAGCTTTCCAGAGAGCCTAGTCTTGTTGCACAGATAAAAGGGTAAAAAAAAAACAACTATCAAATTTTTTCTTCCGGCAAACGAGGTTCTATCGGCACCCTCCCGCCTCTTGGCGTCTCCGCCTCTTGGCCCCGGCGTCGGTGTTCACCCGCGGGATGTCGACGGGTGGGCAATCCGGCTGGAGTTTGAGCGCCAAGCCAAAGTCGGCGACGACGGCCGACAGGTCGCTCCTCAGCAGCACGTTCTTACTCTTCAAGTCGCTGCGGGAGAGACGGGGGGGGGGGGTGGCGGGGGCGCGGGGGTGCACGGTGGACGCGTTCAAGCGGTCGAAGGGTGAGAGGGGGCTGCGTGAGGAGCAAGCGGAGTCTAGAGGTCGCAAACGGGTTTGATTCCTTACCGTAACCGTAACCGGCCGCACCAAGGTCGCAATGTGTACCCGTACCCACGGGTAGGCCGTGAGTCACTGGTGAGTAACCGTTTGTCACTCATTTCGGGTAGGGTACGGGTAGGGAATGGGTACCCGGCCGGGTACGGGTACCCGTTCCCTACCCGTACCCTACCCGAAACGAGTGACAAACGGTGACTCCACCGGTGACTCACGGCCTACCCGTACCCGACCGCACCAGGGTCGCAAACGGGTACCCGTACCCGGCCAGGTAAGGGTAGCTGGGTATCGGGTAGGGTACGGGTATCGGGTACCCGGTTGCGACCTCTGGCGGAGTCCGAACCCGAGGTCGGCAGGGACCCCCCACCCACTCCGCCACCGCACCGCCGCCACCCCCGGTGATCCGTGGGCGGCCTGCTAGCGACGTACCTGGTGGGCGATGGCCTGCTTTGCCTCCGTGCACGTGGCGGTGGAGGTGGGCGAGGCCGCGTGCCAACGTCTCGCCCACGTTGGCAGAGCTCGTGCCACGACAGACGTGGAGCCCTTGAGGTGTGTCGCACAGCGAGCCCTGCGGCGGTCAGAGGGGCAGCAGCGGCAGTGGTGGTGGTGGTAATTGGTGGTGGTAGTGGTAATGGTGGTAGTGGTGGTGGTGATAGTAGTGGTGGTAGTCGTGGTATGTGTGATGGTAGTCGTGGTAGTGGTGGTGGTGGTAGTAGTGGTGGTGGTAATGGTGGTAGTGGTGGTGGTGATAAGTAGTGGTGGTAGTCGTGGTAGTGTTGATGGTAGTCGTGGTAGTGGTGGTGGTGATGGTGGTAGTAGTGGTGGTGGTAATGGTGGTAGTGGTGGTGGTGATAGTAGTGGTGGTAGTCGTGGTCGTGGTGGTGGTAGTCGTGGTAGTGGTAATGGTGGTAGTGGTGGTGGTAGTCGTGGTGGTAATGGTGGTAGTGGTGGTGGTGATAGTAGTGGTGGTAGTCGTGGTAGTGGTGATGGTAGTCGTGGTAGTGGTGGTGGTGATGGTGGTAGTAGTGGTGGTGGTAATGGTGGTAGTGGTGGTGGTGATAGTAGTGGTGGTAGTCGTGGTCGTGGTGGTGGTAGTCGTGGTAGTGGTAATGGTGGTAGTGGTGATGGTGGTGGTAGTGGTGGTGGTAGTGGTGGTGGTGGTAGTGGTAGTAGTGGTGGTAGTGGTGATGGTAGTCGTGGTAGTGGTGGTGGTGATGGTGGTAGTAGTGGTGGTGGTAATGGTGGTAGTGGTGATGGTGGTAGTAGTGGTGGTGGTGGTAGTAGTGGTGGTGGTAGTAGTGGTGATGGTGGTGGTAGTGGTAGTAGTGGTGGTGGTAGTGGTGGTAGTGGTGGTAGTGGTGGTGGTGGTGTAGTAGGTGGTGGTAGTAGTGGTGATGGTGGTGGTAGTGGTGGTGGTAGTAGTGGTAGTGTTGGTAGTAGTAGTGGTGGTGATGGTGGTGGTAGTAGTGGTGGTGGTAGTGGTGGTGGTAGTAGCGGTGGTAGTGGTGGTGGTAGTGGTGGTAGTGGTGGTGGTGGTGGTAGTGGTTGTAGTGGTGGTAGTGGCAATGGTGGTTGTAGTGGTGGTAGTAATGGTGGTAGTAGTGGTGATAGTAGTGGTGATAGTAGTGGTAGTGGTGGTGGTAGTGGTGATAGTGGTGGTGGTAGTGGTGGTGGTAGTGGTGGTAGTGGTGGTGGTGATAGTAGTGGTGGTAGTCGTGGTAGTGGTGGTGGTAGTCGTGGTAGTGATAATGGTGGTAGTGGTGATGGTGGTGGTAGTGGTGATGGTGGTGGTAGTAGTGGTAGTGGTGGTAGTAGTGGTAGTAGTGGTGGTGGTGATGGTGCATGGTGGCAGCGGTGTGCAAGTGGTTCAACTTCGATGTGGTGGCGCTATTTGGTTGAAGAGCGTTTCAAGTAAAGTAGGGAAATCGGCCTGTGGGACGTCGCTTGATTGAGGTCTTTGCTGGGTTTTGGAAGTGGGATGATTGTCGATGATTCCCAGATGGCCGGAATGAGGTTGCACTGGGAGCGAGGCGTTAATGGTGTAGGCGAGAAACTCGATGCCAAGGGGGGCCGAGGTGTTTGAGATCGGGCATAGCTATGCCATCCGGACCAATTGCGGAATAATTTTTGGCTTTTTTGATAGCGAGTTTCACCTCTGTTTGGTGATGTTGTTGTTGTTTATGACGGATTTGTTGTTGAAATTGATTGCACAATTGGGTGGTGGGTTTGGAGTGTCCGTTTAAGGCTTCGATGATCTTCCAAAGTTTTGATGAGTTTTGGCGATGGTCAAAAGATTCAACAAACTCGTGTCTGCGTTCTGTTTTGGCTTGATTGATTAGCTTTTTGATTTCAATATTGAAGGCTGGGATTTGTGACGATGTAGGATTTTCAGTCCTCAGAGTATTTCGTAAGTTTATTTAGTGTTGAGGCTTCTTTAGGGAGGCAGGGGAGGTGTTGCTTGTAGCAGCCCTCCGGGATGGTTGCCTCCAAGTTCAAGTGTGCGCTTCAATTGAACCCATTACATGTGCGTCTCTGTGTGTGTGTTTGTGTGAGTAGTCTATGGGTCTCTACGTGAGTAGTCTATGGGTCTACTGTGTGAGTAGTCTATGGGTCTCTATGTGAGTAGTCTATGGGTCTCTGTGTGAGTAGTCTATGGGTCTCTGTGTGAGTAGTCTATGGGTCTCTGTGTGAGTAGTCTATGGGTCTCTGTGTGAGTAGTCTGTGGGTCTCTGTGTGAGTAGTCTATGGGTCTCTACTGTGTGAGTAGTCTATGGGTCTCTGTGTGAGTAGTCTGTGGGTCTCTGTGTGAGTAGTCTGTGGGTCTCTACGTGAGTAGTCTATGGGTCTCTACTGTGTGAGTAGTCTATGGGTCTCTATGTGAGTAGTCTATGGGTCTCTATGTGAGTAGTCTGTGGGTCTCTACTGTGTGAGTAGTCTATGGGTCTCTATGTGAGTAGGCTATGGGTCTCTGTGTGAGTAGTCTATGGGTCTCTACGTGAGTAGTCTATGGGTCTCTACTGTGTGAGTAGTCTATGGGTCTCTACATGAGTAGTCTGTGGGTCTCTGTGTGAGTAGTCTGTGAGTCTCTGTGTGAGTAGTCGGTGAGTCTCTATGTGAGTAGTCTGTGAGTCTCTATGTGAGTAGTCTGTGAGTCTCTGCACGGTGAGTGAGTCTATGAACCCGCTCGTGGAAGGTGGTGATGATCCACATCTCGGGTTCGGCGTTCCCTTCCCGCCTCTCCGCGCCGATGAATTGCAGCAGGTTGTGGTGACTCAGGCCGGGTGTGACGAAAATGTCCACCTCGTTCT